GAAGTATGAGAGACGAAGTTTGGCCATCTTGGCCTCCAAGGAGCTCTCTGGCTGCACTTCTTCCAAAACAGATCTATTGGTTCTTTTGGCAGCCCATGGCACTTTCAATATTCTCCCTCCAACACCATAACTCAAAAGCATCTTTGGTTCAATAGCAGAAATGTGCTGAAAAGAGTAGTCCGGTATTGTCGGAGGGGTGATACTGGAGTCCTCAAAGATGATAGTACACAGGAATTGATTTGAAAAGAAATGTATGGAATTTATTGGATTGTCAGGAAACATTTACTAGATGCCATTTGACAATAACAAATTAATTCAGTAATAACCAGTTTCACAGACTATTTGTGTATTTGTGCTCGGCTAGCTCTGGTAGCATAGAGGTTGTGAATCAGACCACGAACTGCAAGGTCAGCAGTTCAAAACTACCAGCTGTTCCGCGGGAGAAAGATGAGGCTTTCTGCTCCTGTAAAGACTTACAGCCTCGGAAACCCTGTACAGGGTCTCTATGAGTTGGAACTGACTCAATGGCACTTAACAACAACAATTTATATATTATTTTTTAATTGAAAATTTCAATGTTGGCTTGGGTTGAAAATAGTAGTAAACACTTGAACTTTTCCCTGGCTAGTGTCGATGTGGACAAATGATTGTACTAAAGGTAAAATTTCCCAGTGCCATAGAATTTAGACATGAATCCACTTGTCTTGTAGGATTTTATCTTAAGAATAGAGAAATGTTGAGGTTTGCCATGCATTCACTAAGTTTATTATTACAAGATAGTCATGGCAAGTCATGCAAGTAAGACCTCAACACATTCACTGAGTGTTGGAGAATCAGTATCGACAATTACTATGCTCTTTTAAATGTCACAGCAAATCTTTAGATTTTGACTTTTAATGAGTGATGTCAGGGATTAGATTTTACCACCCTTGAACTCACAAGAGGTTCTCCCTTTCTTGAATCTGAGGTCAGTTGTGGAAAGCAATATCTCAGTAGGCTCTCAATCTTAAGACAAATCAATGGTGTGATTCTGGCTGTGGGCTGCAAATAAATGGATTTGCAGCAAACAACAACATATTTATATTGCTTATTATGGGCTCAGGGGTAGGCACCAGACTGACTGACGCATTTCTCTTTGATTGCAGAGACCTAGGCTGAGCCAGGTGGTGGAGTGGATTGATTTTGAGACTCTGGTCCTCCTGTTTGGCATGGTAAGCTCTGGTAGTGTGGTGGTTACGAATCGGGCTGTGAATTGCAAGGTCAGCAGTTCGAAACTGCCAGCTGTTCCATGGGAGAAAGATGAGGCTTTCTGCTCCCTTAAAGATTTACAGCCTGGGAAACCCTGTACAGGGTCGCTATGAGTCAGAACCGACTCCACGGCACATTACCACCACCACCAATTAACTATGAAGAATTTGAATGGTTGGAACTTTAATTAACTATCAAGAATTTGGTCATCAGAGAGTAACATTTAATATTTAAAGGAAAAATTATCTCTAAGTGGTAGAATTTAAGCCTAAAACCTGTTTGATGGTTAAAATTGCTGTATAGAAAATTTAGGGATATTTGTAAGTTATTGCCCTTAAAATATTAAATTAAATGTCTTAAATTAATTAACTATAAATAGTTTGGTCACTGGAAAATAACTTGTACTATTTAAAGGAAGAAATGGTCCCTAAGTAATAGTTTGCTCAAATATTTGTTGTCATTGACTTTGTTATATGGCCGCTGTGTGAAGGCAGCTGTGATCTGTGAGAAAAGTTGGCTTGCTATGTTGTTGTTAGGTGCCATCGAGTCTATTCCGACCAATAGCGACCCTGTATAGGGTTTCCAAGGAGCAGCTGGTGAGCTTGAACCACCGACCTTGCAGTTCAAATGACTTTGCAGTCTGGTGCACTAGCCCATAGTACCACACCAATGATGATTGTTGTTGTTGTTGTTGTTAAGTACCGTGGAGTCTATTCCGACCAATAGCGACCCTGTATAGGGTTTCCAAGGAGCAGCTGGTGAGCTTGAACCACCGACCTTGCAGTTCAAATGGCTTTGCAGTCTGGCACATTAACCCACAGTGCCACACCAGCACTCTTGGCTTGCTATATTGTTAAGTGCCATCGAGTCAATTCCGATCCATAGCAACCCTGTTTAGGGTTTCCAAGGAGTGACTGGTGAGCTTGAACCACCGACCTTGCAGTTCAAACAACTTTGCAGTCTGGTGCACTAGCCCACAGTGCCACACCAGCACTCCTATAAGGAAGCCTTAATAGCACACGTAGGCTTGTTAGGGACATAGTCACAGCTCAACGTAATGCTAATCAGTAGAATGTGACAAGACTCTGGACAGCAGATGGCTTGAAGGGAGAGCTTTTCCTCTCTTGACTAGAGGACCTATTCTGTGTAAAGCAGGCTGCTGAGAAAAGGTCCTGTTCCTTAGACTTCAATCTCACCCTAACCAATGATGCATCATCTTTGTAGTGTAGTATTGGGTGAGGAGGAATAAGTGGTGCATTGACTTGTGCTTCCCAGAGGAATAATGCTTATATTGAGTCCTGAAAAGCATATGTTGTTATTACTAGGTGTCATTGAGTCAATTCTGAGTCACAGTGACCCTATGCATAACAAAAAGTAACACTGCCCAGTCCTATGCCATCCTCAACAATTGTTACGCTTGAGCCCATTGCTCATGTCACTGTGCCGATCCATCTCGTTGGGGGTCTCTCTTTTTCACTTTACCAAGCATGATGTCCTACTCCAGGGACTGGTCCCTCCTGATAACATGTCTGAAATATGAGAGATGAAGTATCACCAACCTGGCTTTTGAGGAGCACTCCAGATGCACTTCTTCTATCTCAGACCTGTTTGTTTTTCTGGCAGTACATTTTTTTGTTGTTGTTAGGTGCCAT